TTTGATACAATCCATATTTCGTATAGTGCAAAATTCAGTCAAAGGGTGTGTAGGCGAAGATTTTGTCAAGCATCAACAAGTTCCACAATCCTTCTTAGTTCTTATAGATTCGTTCAGTTTGACAGTACACAAACGGCCGTTGACTGGTATCCAGTCAAAAGTCCACTCTTTGCTGGAGAATTTAATGCAACGCCTACATCAGCCAGTTCACGGGAGGCAGAGATTTAAATCGTGAGACACTTGTAATGTGAAATTTGGAGATTCATTACATTGGCTATGCGAAGTAAAGGGAACAACCACACTCGAGTTCTGTATACGTGTCTCAGAGACGCTATATACATCCATGGTTTGATTCTCCAGGGTTTTGTCAAGGGATGCCACTTATCTTATTCGGTATAGGGTCCAGACTTTGGAAGCTCCAATGTGAAACCAACAGCAAAATTTTTAGAGACTAAAAGTGGTGTTTCGCTAGGTGGGATTTTTAACATTGCTTGCAAGTTGAGGGTTAGGGGAGTTGCAACAGGGTTAATATTGGCATAAGGAATTAAAGACAAGAGTGAGGAACAAGGTAAGAAGGGTAGTTTATGGTTAGCTGGTGAAAGCTGCGGTTTATTGGTTTAAGCCGTAAACTTTCAACCAGTGGGTAATGGGTTCGAACAGTGCTCCACCTACGTAGGTCTGGGCAACTTGGTAGTATCATTAATTGTAGCACAGAAGTTATGGCTCGATGCTTACTATATTAACGTGATAGTTGCTTTCCGTTCATGTGGTTTTTCGTGCTTTGTATATTACTGAGAGCATGTGGGTGGCTGATATTTTCCGACTGCCCACACCGTCTAAGTTGTTTCTGAAAGGTTGCTGAGAGAAGAAAGGAAAATTTTATTGATCCTAGCGCCTATGGGAAATCTGCTCGAGGGCTGTAGCACCTGGTCTTATTAGGACTGTTAGACTGAGATTTCACTGCATTTTCTTCAGACAAGAAAGACTTATACCAACGGTACTTGAAGATCGACCTTTTCTAACTGTCTGTCTCTTCCCGTGCGAAAGGCAGCATCACAGTTCTGCTGGCCATCCAGAGGGAAAACAATACTGCTGTCACACTCCATCCAACCGGCGGTATGACTTCACCTTCGGATCTCCATAATTTAGCTCCATAAATATAACGACTTTTGGTCTTACTACTATCCGACAGACCTTTTTCGTATGGTAAGATCTCAAGGAACGAGTGTTCCACAAGTATAGGTTATTTGATCATTATGGTATACAAGCTTGACTACCATGTTAAGCTAGGAGCTATCGGTCAGGAGGGAGAGGCTTTCACCTTTTAAAATGATCATGTTTTGGTAACATTTTTCACTGACTACAGATAGAAATGATAAGCTTATGATACCACTATGCGAGTTTTGAATTCAACTTATTCGCGTGACAGAAATATTCAATGACTAGAGATGTGATGGAGGGGAAATGTGTGATGATCTGGCTTTATTTTAAATGTTTTGAGATTTAAGTTAACCAAGTACTTCTTAATGGAAAAGAACCCGAAATCTGAAGAGGTGTCCAATTAGTTAAGACTACACTGAAGCTGGGTGTCGGGGAAAATAAGCATTCCACAGGAAGCCTACTATATGAAAAATAGTTTTACCTAACTGTTATATTGTTTTTCTGCATTACTTTCTGCCGACAATTAGATTTATCTGATTTTACTTTTATCCCAGATCATCTAAAATCATTCTATTGGTCATTCAAAGAATGTAATAGGGGAAGATATGAATACATGCATTTTTGTCAGTTGTTGATCACCCTTTCCAATTGATAAATTCTGTGGATGTCCTCACTTTCATTTTTAATCTTCCTATCCAAGGCAGGATAGCACTCGGCGTTATCATTGGTCGCATCGTAATACCTTAATATCTCAGTTGACAGCAGATTTGGCGACCTGGTGAAACACTGCATTCAGAAAAGTCGGTGGAAAAGTTTAATTACTCACTTCACAGACTGTAGAAAGTCAGGTACAACAGATGAAATTAATTTTGTGGAATTTATTTATATGTTATTATTATTTTTCCTTCGGGTTCCTAGTGGAACATAGGGCTTCAACAGCACATCTCCATTTCACTCTGTTCTCTGCATGCCTTCTTAACACGGCTCAACCACTCCCCACAAGCTTTCATTTCTTCCTCACACGATCTCCTGCATGTCACCCTCACCTCGGACACCCAACTCGTCGTTCCCCATGCCGGTTCCACTCAACACACTGGCCTGATGCGTGACCTCCCCAAATATCTCCTCAGTGTATGCTCAATCCAATCCATCTCCATTTTATTCTGCATATTTCTTGGGTGATGGGTTCTTGCTTCGTTGGTTTGTTGACAGCCAGCCAGCCAGCCAGCCAGCCAGCCAGCCAGCCAGTCAGCGTTCCTTGTTGCTTATCCTTATTATTCTGGCCATCTGATCTTCACTGTCAGTATCGAGTGAGCGTAGGTGTCAGCTGTTGATGATTTATGTGTGTAGTTTGTTGGAAGGGTTTTGGTGACACGCCAAGTTTGTGAACCATCACATAACAGCACTGAATTCACGTTGATGTTGAAAATTAGGATCTTGTTCACGCTTTATGCTGAGTGTAGTAGATCTCCACACTGATTGGTTTCAGGTTAGTGAAGACGTGTCCTGCTGTCATTCCGATCCTGGCTTCGACTTGCTCATGTGTGTCTCCACCTATAGTCGAAACAACGCTGCCCTGTCAAGGTAGGTGGAAGAGACTACTTCCTTCAGGTTTCTCCCATTCATGGTGGTTGGTGCCTCTTGTCGTTGCTGTTATTGTTGTTGTTGATGATGCTGTTGTTGGTTGGGTATCTTCATCACCTCCGTCTTCTCTACATTCACATGAAGAAAGTCCCATCTTCCCTGCCATGCCTCTTCTGTCAACTTGTCGCTTTCGCCTGTAGATCTTCGAGTTTGTGCGACAAGACATTAAACACAAATCATCATCATTGGCGGTGGTGAAATCCCAATCTTCTTCTGGGGTCTTTTCATCGGTCCAACCAGCATATACCCATCTTCTCGCTCGTCACAGTCTGCTGGATGATCCAGTCGACCACAATCAGGAAGATCATCGGTGATAGTAGGCGGTAGTCTTGTCTTACTCCTGTCTTCACTTCACTTCAAAGGTGTCAATGAGTTTTCCATTGTCAATCACTCGGCATGTAGCATTATATAGGATATAGCTGTTGAATGAAGTTGATAAGGGTTTGTGGCACTAAAACCGTAGTGTTGAAACAGCTGTCTGCCAAATAAATTTTCATTCGACGTTGTCGAAGGCCATTTCAAAGTCGATGAAGTTGAGGTTGAGTCGAGTTGACTGGCATTCTATTCTCTGTTCTCACCAGTTTTTGCAAAGACTTGGGTCCACCTTCTTTGGGAGTCTGACAAGATAGTCTTCCTTCCAATCTGTTGGCAGGTACCTTTCTCTCCTTCCTTCCTGCCTTCCTTCTTTGCAAAGCTTTTGCAGTAGTGGTGTGAGCATGTCTGCTGTTGTTGTCTCTGCATCTGTTTTCAGTGGTTGTAGTGGAATTCCATCTGGTTCTGCTGCTTTCGCCGATTTCAGCAAATTTATGGCGTTCAGGACTTCAGTTGTGGTTTTATTGGAGGATTTGTGTTCAATGGTAGTTCTGCGGTTGCTGGTGGTATTTCTGGACTAGTTGCAGCCTAACTCCGAGCATATAAAATGCGTCATTCATAAGCAGCCACATCATTTTGATGATTTAGTCATGAGCAGCGAAAATGTATTGAATTCAGTTCCTAACTCTATGATATGTGATGAAGTAACTCAACTACTGAAACCATCTAATACTATAATTCTGAAGACGATCTTCAGTTCAAAAGCTATAACTGCATTACTGAAATAATTCATTGAAATTATGAGAATACTCGAAGGAACACCACCGGTACGTAAATAAGAATACGTACTGGAATAACTGTACAAGGTACCAGTCGCAGGTGACAACATTGATTCTGTTCACTCTAACAATTTTATTTCAAACAACTTGATAACTTATGTCTTAAAGGAGAAAGTGTCATTGCTGTCTTACGACTAAGAAGAGCAGTTTTTATCATAAAAATTTTCCTCCTGACAAAGTCAGAACAAATCCTCACAATCCTGTCGAATTCAGTGGTAAATCGTAACAGTTACAGAGTTCGAATGGTATATAGGAAGATAATTTATGCGTCTGTAAGAGATCTCACACATTTTGAAGCGGTGCAAAATTATCACTACAGTATACATAACAGTTGGATGTGTGACAACCTCTTTTGGTTGTAATGTTGATGCACATAGTACAGTTCTTCAGTAAATCAGTGTGTAACATTCGTTAAATTTTTGAAAATGTAGTCTGCCAACCCTTTGGCGAATATTTTTGTGGACATTGCGCTATGTATGATGGTGATGAAACTTATGTAAAAGCATAGAGAAGTGATGAATATTTTCAACTGAACCATAAAGTTATATATTACAATTTTAACTGACTAAATGATTACAAGTTTCCAGGGTGTTAAACGCCAGAAATACCAGTAAGAAGTTTCAAAGTTCAGTTGGTGAAGCGTTCGGTGGTTAACCCAGAGGTTTATAGCTCGTTTCCGTTCACTGTCAGTCATCAGTCTACATCACAAATACTAGTTTTCTAAACCACATCTATCTCAGATAGCCTCATCAGTAACTTATCTTCCGCTGTCTTTCTTTCTCTCTCTGTCCTTTAAATGCACCTCGATTCGCATTGGGATGAGAAGACCTAGTTATGCAGCCAGTTACTTTTCATGCATTCCCATGACATTCGCGCTAAATCCTTGGTTATCGTAGCGAAGTTGATACCTGGTCAGTAGCTTGGTCTTATACCTCAGTCGGTTGAACAACGAACCTGGAGGCTGGTGGTTCAAATCCCACTGTGAAACAAGTTTTCTTTTCACCTTCAACCATCATCAAATATAATAGTTGGATAAAAACTTACTCTTAATATGGATACTTCATTTTTCAGTTGTGCTTCTCTTTTTGTGGGAAACCGTAGTTTATCAATAACTTTGATTGCTACTTCACGTTTTGTCTTACGGTGTATGCCTATGGAACAGTAAAAAGCAACGATAAGTTATATTTTTTTAAAAAGGAAAGAAGTAACCTTTATGACAGCTTAGTGATGTGTAAGTAAAAACAATAATGTGGTTACTAGTTAAATAGAATTTTAAAAAAATAGAGAGCTTTTTAACCACGATTTGCAAGCCCCGTTTCCTCGATTATAATGAGAGTCAGCAGTCTTGTATCATTAGATTTTAGATTTTGAGCCTTTTTGTTCCATTTATCGTAAGGAAGAGTTTCTCGTATTCGTTTTCGGTCTTCTCCCAATTGCAGATCTAGTGAATGTTTATCGTTGGCTGCTGTTAACTTTTTTATTTCTTAACATGTGTGGAGAGGAACTGGTTGGATAATCTGTATAATGAAAAACTGATAGTTGTCTTTTATTTGCATAACTGACATAAACTGACAGAGCTAGACAGAGAAAAACAAATTTGACAGTTTATTGATATGCTTGTAACCCTCTGTTATTTTACTGAGTCGAATCGTTCTAACTCTACTGGCATATGGGCTCTTATGCGGGTGTCTCGATACTGCCTAAATATTGATTATGGTAGCTTACTTGGTTGTGGCTACCAGAGGAATTCAGGGCACGCGTTTCGTTCTATCTGGTATACTGAGGTATCCGCACACGGGCCCATAGGCCAACAGAGGTCGAACAATTTGTCCAGGAAAACAAAGGAGAATTACAAGGATATCAATAGACACTAATAACTAATACCCGTTGTACAAGAGGTGGGTATCATGCCTCTGTGGCCTAGTTGATAACACCTTTCCGTTTGAAGCGACGGGTACGAGCTTTGGGTCTCAGTGGGAACAACATCACTCATTGGGGTGCATGTGTATCCAGCTGACGAGTCCCAAATAGGATAGTGCGCGCATCCTGGATTCCTCGGCTAGCCACAACCAAATAAATTACCAAAAATTGAACAACTGTCTGGTAGTTGGGGTCGATAAGATAGAGACTCCCGGTTCATGAGTACTTTTCAAATGCAGAGTCATATCCATTTGTAATCAGTACTTTTATTCAGAATTAAGTATTTCTAAATGATAATATCTGGTTTCTGATCACTAATTTGGTTAACTCACTGTCGTGAAACAAAATAAAGTGAAAAGGTGTAATATACATTTCCTAATCAAATTTCGCCATCTTTAAATGACTTTTAAATGACCTTTTTTATTATGATAACTATTTGTTAGTAAACTTGCAAACCGTATTTATTGCTTGCGTATAAAGTTGTGAATCTTACCTGAATGAGGTGACTTGGACATGTATTGTGCATGCCCAGTCACCTTATACCTTGATGTGCAGTGATAATCAGATTGAGAATGGGTTGAGAGAAGGTTAGGAGAGGCTAAGTCATAACATGGCACCAGTTCGCAGGGTCTCAGAATCTTGATCTACTCCTTACAGTGAAGTTTTAGGTTACCTGGTTGGATTCCTCAAAACGATAGGAATCAACGGTTGAAGAGTTTTGGTGGTATGACAGAAGATTTTATTGACCTTCGTCTATATATTTCGTCTCCCCTTATACATTAGCTTATCCTAATATCACTTTTTCGGCCCACTGTTTCTTTGTTTACTGCTGTGAAATGGGCGACTTGAACCGATGCACTTCCGTGCCAGGTTCTACGTTCACTTTTCTATGTGTATCACATTCATATATCAATGAAGTTTATGCACAGAAAGAGAGATTATTCAGTTAAATGTCTGTATATTTTTTGAAAGGATCATCACCGAATCCATCAACCATTCCCCACAAACCACTAACTGAGAAATATCCTGTAATCAATATATATTTTCTCAGTCTATAAAACTCACTATATCAATAATGTGATGTGTAGGAGCATGGAAAAATTAAAAACGTTTTCAGTTGAACCAGTAGTGGGACGTTTTGTTAACTGCTTCAATTAAAATGTGTTCGGATCGCTCCGGGAACGAGGAATGAATTGTAAAGTTTAAAATTTTCGTCCGCATAGCTAGATATCTGTATACTACAGTAAAAAGATGCTGACATTCAAAGTGTGATTAAGAACAGTTTGATAATATACTTAACTGTAGAGGTATTTCATGAAAAAGATTAAATGTAGAACGAGGTCCAGAGAATATATTTGGATTATAGAATCAGTAACGACACAATAGAATATAAATAACAAGATCCTGATTTTCAACATCAACGTGAATTCAGTGCTGTTATGTGATGGTTCACAAACTTGGCGTGTCACCAAAACCACTTCCAACAAACTACACACATAAATCATCAACAGCTGACACCTACGCTCACTCGATACTGACAGTGAAGATCAGATGGCCAGAATAATAAGGATAAGCAACAAGGAACGCTGACTGGCTGGCTGGCTGGCTGGCTGGCTGGCTGGCTGGCTGGCTGGCTGGCTGTCAACAAACCAACGAAGCAAGAACCCATCACCCAAGAAATATGCAGAATAAAATGGAGATGGATTGGATTGAGCATACACTGAGGAGATATTTGGGGAGGTCACGCATCAGGCCAGTGTGTTGAGTGGAACCGGCATGGGGAACGACGAGTTGGGTGTCCGAGGTGAGGGTGACATGCAGGAGATCGTGTGAGGAAGAAATGAAAGCTTGTGGGGAGTGGTTGAGCCGTGTTAAGAAGGCATGCAGAGAACAGAGTGAAATGGAGATGTGCTGTTGAAGCCCTGTGATCCATTAGGAACCCAAAGGACAAATAATAAATAATAATGAAGAAAAAGGTGATAATTAATACAAGGATAAAAACTTGGCGTGATATCAGAATTTCATTCCATTTTAGTTGATGTTTTAGATGTACCACACAGTGAAACAGTATTATTTACTGGATTACGTTTTGGACACAACTTATTATCCATAATCATATCAAGATCACACCAAAACTTTTAGACAGTTTATATAGTTCTAATTTTATCTCTCTACTTATGATATAGGTAGCAGGATTTACCGTATATCCGGAACGGGTGATCAGTCATTCCTTTTGGACGTATTTTATGTTGAATCTATAAAGAAAGATTCGTCTAAAGATCTCTCCCTCGATACCACTAAGTTAATTTTAAAGATTTTCACTCTTTTTTAATCAAATCAGCAACAAATAATGCAACAGGAATGACCCAACAGATATTCAGGATATGTGGTAAATACTACTACCTATATCACAAGTGAGGCGAAAAAATTAGAACTATATACATCATCCCTCAAAGTTGTGGATTTATCTTGATTATGGACAGTAAATTGTGTCCGAAATATAATCCAGGAAATAGTATTGTTGTGAAATGTTATACATCTAATAAATCAACTAAAATGGAAGGTGATCATTATGAAGGCTTAGAGACAACCATAAGTAATTCATAAACTGAACCTCCAGTTATTTCATCCACTTTGAATATTTGACTTTATCAATGGTTCCAGATCACATGAGGCACGGCTGTAACAGACTAGGTACCGCATATTTCGTGCGACACTTTCAAAAACAAAAGTCAAAATCCACTCACTAACCTTGTGGAGATTTGTGTAGCAGGCAGTGAGTCACATAAGTTGCGTCAGGGCTAATAATACTATTTGGCTGCCCAAACCTGCTAGCTGGCGTAGCGTTTGAACTCGCGAAGGTCCTCTCTCTAAACCCATGAGGCACAACTCCGTTTCCGGGCTAAACAGACTCCCTTATCGATTACGTTCAACAATTTAAAACAAATCACAATGCATTCTGATTTCTAGTTACTTAACTCTGCATAAGTATTGCAAACTTTCTTGACAGAATTCGGTTAACACTTATGACTAGCCAGGATGATATTATTTACCATACAATGACAAGTTATCGATGAAGAATGCTAATCTCTACACTAACTGGATGGTTCAGGTAGAAGAACATTCAGAAAATCCCTATTGTTGGAGTCTGATTATTATCCTAATGAGCTATAGTAAGACAAAAAGTTAAATTCTTATACTGATGAAAATGATAGAGTTACGGACAGCCTTAGAAAATAGTTGGTGGTAGTGATGAGAGGTTCAGGATTTAGTTTTCATGCTTGTTGGCAACTTTAGGCAAGTTGAATTTACAACGTTAAGAGAGTCATTGCTTTCTGAGAGATAACAACCATCGTTACCCAAAGTTGTGTACGGTTAATAGTGTTGCCAGTAAGCCCTTAAAGTGAAGACTGACTATGTGTTAGAAGGCAGTGTTAAGCTGAAACTGATGCTACTATCTGCGTCTAATACTCGATCAATACAGTTTAGTAGAATGGAATTTCAAAATCGCATGTCAAAATACTCATTACATTTGATACAGTATTATTCACTAGAAAGCATTTCAGTGACAGTTTATTTCTTGTGGTTATAACAAGGAAGACCAATGAAAATCTGTGAATAAACTAATTCAGAAATATACTCTGTTGTAGAGTTCAAATTCTGTCTTTCATATACGACATGCTGAGACTTGTACATAAGTAGAATGAATACGGATCATAAAACCTTAATTGTATATGAAGGTCGATTGAAAATAACGATCGATAACATATTTTAAAATCACAAAAATATCTTGGGTGGATTGCTTCATTCACTTTAATAGGAAGGCAAATTGTTTGATAACATCTTTTTAAATTTGCATTGATGAGAGTAAAACGTATCCTCGATTTTCAAGTGGCAACATCTTTAATCAATGGGCATTAAGTAACAAGATTATTTAGTCATCAAAATCAAAAATGTTTTAACCCGCCTCTCCATATAATGCTTGCATTTACTAATAACTACCCTAGTGAAAGCGTAATTCGGGTTGACAATTTTATGGCAATGACCAGTTTAGTGTTAGTTTTCATCACCTGATATGCATATGGACAATAGCTTGTGTCCGAAACTCTATCCAGTTAGGAATACTGTTTCGCGATATGATACATGCAATAAACAGACTAAAATAGAAGTGAAATAAAGATTTTTGCTACAACATCCAAAACTCCTATCACTGAGCTGTATTGTCTGGCTC